ATCCGGAAGCAAATCGGAGCTCGGTAGTTTTTGAAGTACAGGGTTTTGAGTTCAGGCTTTACGGAAGGGGTCCCGTACACGTGAACATGAAACGATGCTTACGTGACGCCTGAAATGCATGAAAATCCTTTTGCAAAATCGATGAGTCACTTGGGTCTGTGTCTGCAAAGCTGTCCAGGTTCGCGGCTCTGGGCCAGTTCACCACGAAACCTGAACGTCCACTTGCCTGCATGAGGGCTTGTTGCATGTTGTTGCTGCAAGACTACCTACCGTACAGTCCAGACCTTTGCAGAGACGCTGCTCGCGCCGCGCCCTCGTCGGAACCCACAATTCAACGGGCCCACACACTGTACTTGGCCGCAAGTTTACCACTTGGGGTCCTTAAAAACATGCCTTCTCCTCAGTCTTTGTGACATGATGCGGCGTTGGCCAACACTTTTCTATGCCGAGGATGAGTCTTTCGTGTCCATTTCCTGCTGTGTTGCGGAATGCTGGAATGTCTCAGCCTCCGGCTTTCACCTGTCAAGTAGGCTCTTCACATGATAACAAGCTTGCATTGTGACTTGAAACCTGTTGAAACACCGCTGAGCGGCTAAGCTTTACATGACTAAATCTACGACTTTCGGATGGCCTTTTGCCGCTTTGATAACTTGCAGGCATGTGCTGCTGCGGCGCCACTGAAAGCGCATGTGCTCACTAGTGCTCACTAGGCGTAAACGTCAGGCATGGCTGCCAAGAGCCTTGAGTGGCCAGAGTTCCCGGTCTCACTCTCGTTCGCGGCTTTCGCATTAAGCTTCGCGGCTTTCAGTTTCGAGGCTTCCTCGTCCAGGGTGTGGTTCTTCATGAGGTCCGCCTTCAGTTTCAGCTCCACCGCGGGATCAGGCTGCGCATTAAGATTGGACCGGGCCTACAGCCACAACACAAAACAAGCTCAACACAAAGCAAGCTCAGTTCTGCGGATGACAGCGAATTACTGGGGATTGCAGCAGACTACGGTGCAACACCGTAACGCACACACCAACAGCTGAGGCACAGGAGATCGGAGGCAGATCTTCCAGCCACCTTTCCGAACGCTGCCGTCCTTGCGAAGCAAGAGGCAATCCAGACAAAACGCACATGACAACGCACGTCACTAGAGGGCCCTTGAGCAGTCAGGAGCCAAGTGCCAAGCGGCATGTGACTCTTATCACCAAGAAGCTATATGTCGACCCTTGCGTTTGCAGGACTGCTTGCAACCGTGCTTCGGAACTCCATGTGATCTCGCCGTGGGGGATGACTCCCTGTGGGCCGTTGCTTCCAGAGTACTCCACAC